ACCGATTAAGGAGCCATGACTTCCTGTTTTTATAATCTAAGTTATATTTCTATTCACGTGACCTAGAACTCTTCTTTCGCTTAGACAAGTAAGAATTTAGTAGGCTGTCTATTTCATTCTAGGAGCACCATGTTCAAACAGCCAATTCCATAGGTCTCTGTGAGTTACACTGTTCTGATTACTGCATTCACTCTGCTGTTCATTATAAATTGCATCCATTTGTCTTTGGGTGATTAAGTGCTGCCACCCAGCTTCTGCCGGCCTCTCCATAATTTCATGAGCCAATTCCTAAAAAGAAATCTCCCTTTCTCTCTCCATATATGTATGTGCAGTATAGATAGATGTATACATACAATACACTTTCCAGAGAAACAGAACTAACTACGTATCTATCTATCTATCTATCTATCTATCTATCTATCTATCTATCTATCTATCTTTGTAGTTGGTTTTTTCCAGAGAAAAATATTTATGTAGTTCTTTCTCTGGAAAACCCTGACTAATACAATGAAAGGCCTGGAAGGGAGGACGAACATTTATTGAGCAAAAATGGGCTAGTTTTTAAAGATTAAGGTAAAAAAGGACTTGACTGAACTATAAATTTGAAAATTTAGAAACCATTTTTTGCTTCCTGGGTTTTGTTTGGTTACATTCTCAGATTTTGCTGGAAAGAGCACCTAAGTCATTGAAAATAGTGCAACCAATGAATCCTATTGCTGTATACATATGTATTCAAGAACTCAAATTGGTAGGAAAAGTCCAACCTTTTCAGAAATTACAACTTATGCATTAAAAAATTATGAATAAAAATAAAAATTCAGAAGCATAAGCAGATACAAGCAAGGCAAGATGGGCCAGCAAAAGGAGGTGAGGGCTTACATTGTTTTGCTTTGTCCTTGTCCCTGTTGGCCTCATAGACTGCGTGTTGTATCTCATCCAGCCAAAGAATTTTAGAAGCAGGGTCCTGGGAATAGAATAAAAGAAAAACATAGTGAATAATGATGAAACAGAGTAACTGCTTTTAAGGAACCAGCTTATTAAAATTTTCATAAGCTCTTATTCGGCAACTACCAAGTTCTGCCAATACACTCTACAAGCTACTAATGAAGTAGATCCCAACACAACCACTTCTCCCTTCCCCTGCCACCCCTCTAGTTCAGCCCACCAGCATCTCAAAACTGAGCCTCTGTACTGGTCTCCTATTTGCTTTGCTGCTTTCAAGTTTGCCCTCTACCACAGTGGTCTTCTACAGAGAACCAAATAATCTCTTCAAAATGGACATCTCATGACAACACTCCTTGGCTTAAACTCCTCCAAAGGCTTTCCCCTGAAGTTGGGAGGAAACAAAACTCCCTTCCCACGGACTGTGGGGATTTAATGAACTGGCTTCACCTCACACTCCTCTACTCTCTATTCCTGACCTTCACACCAGCCTCCTTCAGATCACAACATTCTACCCCAGCAAAATGGCTATGATTCTTTCTTATCATTCGGGCCTTAATCCAACTGCCACGCCCTCCAAAAAAGACTTCTCTGGCCACCCTCGCCACAAACTCTCTGCTTTGGTCACTCAGTAACTGTGGTTCCCAAGGCAGCCCAGAGTGCCATGGGATACTTTAAATTTGAGGGAAACACAATGACACCATTTATCAGATACAGAGACAAAAATAAAACAAACATTAAAAAATCAAACAAAAACAGAGGTTGCCCTCAAGGAGCTGATGGTTTAGTAGAGACAGATATACAAAAAATAATTATAATACAATGTGATGAGGACATTAGCTGTAGAAGCACAATCTAGAAATAGCCAAGATGGGATTAACATAGTAAGTCGGGGGGGGGGAAGAGGGGGGGGTTGAGTTACAGGGGGAGAAAAGGCCAGGTAAAGAATAGCCTCAGAAAGGAAGTGATGGAAGCAATAAAAGGTATTGAATTACATTTAATATTTTTTAATTTGGAGGTTGATTCTTATGCTCTTGCTACAAATTTAGTGCTGGCATCTCATTAACTGGGACTTCCAGGTAGCAACTGTATTTTCTATAAACTTGTCTAAGATTGTAAGTAAAATTTTATCAGTAGAAATTAAATATTGTGGCAAAGGATGAATGTTCCATTAAAAAAAAAAGGGGGGGTGGAACCGTTGCCTATGTGTAGAAATAAGCGTCATGTACTAAATCCTGAAGCAAGGCTATGATGAAGAGAAGGCAGCTCATTGGAGCCGTGGAGAACCAGCTTCATCAATCAGGACTCAAGATGGCGAGAAGCAGGTAGGAGAAATAACATTTACCAGCTCCTCTGGCAGGCTTCAACCCTGCTTCTCTCAGACACTAACATGAGATAATGTAGGTGGAAGGGGTTCTGAAAATGAAACACTATCTTTTATTTCAATCCTGCAGCGTCTGGGCTAACGGAGACTGCCGAGGAAGGCCTGGCGCCTGCTTCCCCAATCCTCTCTAGCTGGATCTGCCATATGGGAACCCTCAGCTGTTAGTAAGATTTCCCATTTCTTGGCAGAATGAATGGGGAAGATTCAAACAGGAAGTACGATGGCAAGTTGAAGACTAGAGGAGGAATAAAGAGACAGGGGAACAAGAGCTATTTTTTTTTTTTTTCTGTTTCTAAGACCAAAGGGAACCTATAAGGTACAGCCTAAAAACAAAGCTCCATACAAGTTCATTGAAGTGTGTCTCAGGTTTTTTGTGTGGGTATTTACCAAATTCCTTCATAACTTACCAGTGTAACAGACAAACCATACAAACTTTTACCCAGATGAAAAGGAAGTTATAATCCCACTTCAAAGCTGATGGTATTTGTTTTAAAAGCTAAACAGAAGAGAGACTCTGCAAATCAAATAAATTCAAGCCAACAGTTTAAATCATGTCTTCTTGAAATAAAGGTTGCTAGAGTTACATGCAAAACCAAGAGTGAAAACCAAATCCTACCAATGGAACATCCTCTTTTTAATAGCTCTGTAGAAGATTGGAATTATTATATTTACAGGATGGCCATGGCTCCACCTTCAGCTAAACAGCCAGGTTCAGCATATGAGTAACAAATAGATTAAGGCAAGTGAACAGAAACTCGGCCATCTGCATACATTCCTGAACCTAGGTGATTCCTGGGAAATTTGAAACAAAAAAAGTACTCTCTCCTCAATATTTTGTGGTCTTTTGGTTATTATTTCTACAATAAAATAGCATTCTATCTCAGTGTGTGTTATCATATGTTATAAGACTGACTTAAAAAAAATTGATTTCAGAGAGAGGAAGGGAGTGGGAGAGAGGGAGAGAAACATCAATGATGAGAGAGAATCATTGATCAGCTGCCTCCTGCACACGCCCCCAACTGGGTATTGAGCCCACAACCCGGGCATGTGCCCTAACTCGGAATCGAACCATGACCTTCTTTTTGATTTATTTTTTTTTACAGAGAGTAAGGGAGAGGGATAGTGAGTTAGAAACATCGATCAGCTGCCTCCTGAACACCTCCTACTGGGGATGTGCCCGCAACCAAGGTACATGCCCTTGACCAGAATCTAACCTGGGACCCTTCAGTCCACAGGCAGATGCTCTATCCACTGAGCCAAACTGGTTAGGGCAAACCATGACCTTCTTGTTCATGGGTCAATACTCAACCACTGAGCCACACCAGACAATCTTAAAGACTTTCTTTTTCTCCTCCACAGAGGTAATATTTATTATTTGTTAAAAGATCTTTTATGTAACATATATAGAGAACGCAAAATTGTACAAAGCACACTTTGGGGATTTCTACTACGAAATGCGTATATACTTCTGAAATCATATAGAGATATGTAAAGACTGATTTTTGATTGCAAAACTTGGTGGGGTGAAATTTATCAAGGTGTGAAAAGTTTGCGCAGATCAATTCCTTCTTAGCTTATCCCTTAAGCCTTTAAGTTTCATGTGAAATTTGCATTTTTCTGATTCTTGCTGCATTTTATAGGCAATAGGCTGTTGGGTTGCCTGGCTTAGCATTTAACCTTAAGTTTTGTTAATTATAGAAAAAATCTGTTATAAGGCAGTATTTTTTCTAAATATTAAATCATATCCTTCAGAATATAACTACTCATAAAAGCTTCTATGTTACACAACAATGTGACTACTGAGTGGTGTTAAATTTAATGTGATAACACTTAAATAATGGTTAAGATGGTAAATTTTATATTATGTATATTTCATGACAATTTAAAAAAAAATCAAAGCCTATTGTAGACCTGCTCACCAACACCCATGGAATAAAGGGAGTCCTCTGCATTTCAATGTATTATGATTTGTGTTTAATCAAATAGTGTGGTTTTACCCCCTTACTTTGACACCCCCCCGCCCCCGCCCCCCTCCACACACACACACACACACACACACACACACACACACACACACACACACACACATTATCTGACCCTACTGAATGGCTCAGAATATGATGAGCTATGGCAAAAGTTCTGGCCAACCACTGATGACACTTTCGGGTCATTGTGACATTGATGAAGAATTTTCAGAGTAATCGGAGCTTTGTCAATTTTAACTTCATAAAAAAATGTTTGCTCTCCATAATGTATTTAATTTGTAATTACATAATGAGTTTCAGAATTAAGATTTGAAATAGCTGGGAGGATAAAGAAAAGGATGATTTCTAAAAGCTAATGATTAAGTAGAAATCGCACTCTGGAAACCCATTTTTAAACTGATAAGAACGGATACTACACTTGATCTTAGCCAAAAGGCCGAGAAGCGATGGAAACCCATTTTTAAAATGGATAAAAGGAGACAGGGGACAGCGTGAGAACTAACCGCTGGTCGGCTGTATTTTTCTCTTACTTCTGTAAAGGGCTGTACACGCTCTGCATTCCTTCAATGCACATAAGCATGTGGGAGGGGTTTACAGCACCCATGCAGAATGGACTACTAGGGGTGGGTGAGAGTTAAGTGTCACGTGCCCCAGGGCTCCCTCTGAGTCATACGCACTGAAACCTGAGTGCTGTCACACTCCTTCCCTGAAGAGGTCCTGGGACTGGCGTTTCCTGCCTGCAGAGCACAGCAGCAGCTTCACAGAGCACAGCTCCCGTTTGCTGTTACCCACATGGAATTGGGGTGAAACCGTGCTCCCTAATTTTATACGTCTGATAACATTTGGGAAACAGGATGCAGGTGGTCAAAATGAAAGCTCTCATCTTTGCAGCGGCTGGAGCCATGCTTCTGTCACCCACATTCTGTCAAAGCGGTAAGCCCTTTTCTTATGGGGTCCGGGGTGGGGGGGGGGGAGGGGAGGGCTGGTCTCTACAATTAATTCAATAGTGAATTTTCTTTGTGAGAAGTTTTTGATTTTCTAAGCATTTCCTCTGATTCAGCAAAGATAGCACTTTAAAAAAAATCCTATGTTTCTACTTTCTGGTGAGGCATAAAGGGGGAAAAAGAATATTCTCAGAGATCAAGTGGTCTGCTTTCAATAATCAACAAGGCTAATAAATTAGTGTTTCTTAATAATATACCATTTTTTACTTTCAGTGTATCAGAGAGTTATAGTTTTCCCTGCCCTCATATATGATTTTTAAATTTTAGAAATGAAATTTCCCTAATACTATTACTTAACTCTTAACGTTTTTCTATTTTATTCAACACCAGTTCAGGGTACATCTGCATCTGCAACTCTTACCATTAGGTCACAATATAGTCAACATTGTTAGGAACAGGAGAGCTGGGCAGAGAAACGACAACGAGAGGGGGAAACCCCAAAATTAAATAAAACCCCCAGACCTCTATTAAGGAATGTTGCTAACATTCATAGCTGGAATCACTGAGGTGGTTGTAGGAGAACCCTAAGAGAATTAGTGGATGGTAGCACATGTGGGGTTTATGAATAGGATTCAGTGAATGCTCTTTCTAGGAGTGGATGAACCAAAATGCAGGGGAATCATAAGAAAAATGAGGCTTGTGGATGTTCCTTCAAGATGCTGGTGGGGTTTGGAGGAAGTGAAAAGGGGGGAAGAATTCAAATGTGACAAAGTAAAAGGCAGGAAGTTGACTTTCTTCAATCGGGTGGGGGAGAAACGAGACGTGACTCAAGTCCACTCCCTTTGGACCAGTGCCTCTTTCAGGCCTTTTCCCGGGTTGGCAAACATTTTAGAATCATTTTGTTAAATGGAAACCTGTATAAAGAATTCAGCAAATTAAAAAAATAAAATTTGGCCCTGGCTGAGTAGCTCAGTTGGTTAGAACGTCCTCCCAATATATGTCAAGGTTGGGGGTTCAATCCCCAGTCGGGGCACGTGCAAGAATCAACCAATGAATACATCAACAAGTGGAATAAACAGATCAATCTCTTTCCCTCTTTCACTCTAAAATCAATTAAAATTTGTTTTCACAGTGAGTACCGTTCTTAAGGAAAACCATATAAGACTTGCTCAAGCTGAATCAGATCAGCTGACATTCTCGTGGAAAATGGAATCCAGACTTTCAGAGTCAGTGTTGAGCATGTTTTTGGCCTGATGTCTTGCTCAATCACAGGAATTTTCTGAAAACTGACAAACACTTGGTTCCAAAAGCTCTCTTATCAGATCCCCAAGGCCAACAACCCATAAGACGTATTCTTCAGCCACCATTTACCAGCTTCACGCTTATCTGGGAAGGCACTTCTATTTGGGGGATTGTCAGGTACAGAAATTTTCTGAAATGCAAGCTGAGCAAAAGGGTTTGTGTGACTAAACTCAAGTATCACACCACGTGCCTCAACCTGCCTCACAGTTCACCTCTCAACAGGCACAAACCACTGCCACTTCTCAGATTTTTTCTTTCTTTTCTTTAATCTACTCTCCCCTAAATAGCACCCAAGCACCTCCCTGCCCCCGTATGTTCAGAAAAAATTCTCCCTTTTTGTGACACACTGAATTAATTCCGTTTGTGCAATCTGAGGATTATGAGGAAGGCTTCAATTTCACCTGGGGCGAATGACAGACGTGAAAGCAGGATGAGAACCAGGTTACTGAACACTAACCTCAAGTATTCAACACATAGGAATTCAGAGGTCATGTGAAAAGGAACTGGCAGAGAAATAGCATTTTAAAATTGGCAAGTATGAAGTTTAAATTCAGCATAAAAGTTTGCCTCGGGTAACAAATTTGAGAGGATCTACTTTCTATCCATGTCAAAGATTAATTTATGGAAAACTTCTTTAATGATAAACAGGTCTGAGTATTGAGGTTTATTCTGTTTTTGAAACTGCACTTTCAAGAATTAGGGTTAGTAATATCAACAGGACATGTAATGCCAAATATTTATAGTATGTGGTCGTGTTTTGATGCTTTCCGCCCCCCCCATTTCCAACTTTTCAGATCATCATATTGATTTCATCTTCTGATTTTTCTTCCTTTGTCTCCTGTCCCCTTAAAAATAGGACATTTGAATTTTTTTCTTCTTCTCACATCTCTCACTAGGCTGTTCAGCCACTCCTACTAAATTAAACCACAGCCTCTATGCGGACTAAAAAGTCTGTACTTATCATTTAGATTCTTGAAATTTAGGACTCCACACCTAAGGCTTTCTGCCTGTTCTAGGACAGTTTACACTCTAATATCCCAGCAGCAACCTAAACTCAGGAATACTCAACACCGAGATCTTTGCTTCTCTTTGTGTTCTCCCCTTTCCTTTGGAGCATCCTCCTCCAAGTCATTTTTGCCTCCTGCCTCTCCCCCACCGACTCCGTACCCAATAGATGCCAAGTCCCATTGAGTCTCCATCACAGTCTCGTGTGTTCATCTTCCCCTGTCCACTGCCACTGCTCTAGTTCTGTAACTCACCATCCTGAGGTTAAATGATTACACTAGACTCTGAAACTGCCCCTCTTGCGTCCAATTTCTTATCTTTTCATTTTCAGTTCTTCTCTACACTGTCACCAAGGTCTTCTCAAACACAAGTAAAATCATGGTTATGTTAGTTTCCTATTGCTTCTATAACAAATCATCATAAATCAGTGGTTTAAATAAAACATTATCTTATATTTCTGGAGGTCACAAGTCCTAAAGTCAAGTTGTTCATTCTGAAGGCTCTAGAAGAGAATGTTTTCTTGCCTTTTTCTAGAAGCTGCTTGCATTCCTTGGTTCATGATTCCTTCCATCTTCAAAGCCAGAAGCATAGCATCTTCAAATATCTCGCTCTGACTTTGACCCTCTTGCCTCCTTATTTTAAGGACTCTTATGATTACTCTAGTGGCCCGGTGCACGAAATTTGTGCAGGGGGGGGGGGTCCCTCAGCCCAGCCTGCACCCTCTCCAATCAGGGACTCCTTGGGGGATGTCCGACTGCCGGGTTAGGCCCGATCCCTGTTTGGGCCTAAACTGGCAGTCGGACATCCCTCTCGCAATCTGGGACCGCTGGCTCCTAACCGCTCACCTGCCTGCCTGCCTGATCACACCTAACTGCCTCTGCCTGCCTGCCTGATTGCCCAAACCTCTCTGCCTGCCTGCCTGCCTGATTGCCCCTAACCTCTCTGCCTGCCTGCCCGATTGCCCCTAACTGCCCTCCCCTGCTGGCCTGATTTCACCCCCAACTGCCCTCCCCTGTTGGCCTGATCTCACCCCCCAACTGCCCTCCCCTGCCAGCCTGATTGCCCCTAACCCCCTGCCGACCTGATCTCGCCCCCAACTGCCCTCCCCTGCTGACCTGATTGCCCCTAACTGCCTCTGCCTCAGCCCCCACCACCATGGCTTTGTCCAGAAGGAAGTCAGATGTCCAGAAGATGGCCGGTTGACCTGGTCTAATTAGCATATTACCCTTTTATTAGTATAGATTGGGCCACCCGGACAATTCAGGATACCTCCCCATCTCAAGATCCTTAATCACACCTGCAGTCCCTTTTCCATGTGAGGTAACACATTCACAGGCTCCAGGCATCAGCAGGTGGAATCTTTGAGGTGCCACTATGCTGTCTACTACAATGGTCAGCCCTCTGTTCATAATTTTTTTATGTGTACAATTCCAGCATCTATCAATGGGCACATGATTCCGTAGGACAGTTTAGGGGCCCTTCAGAGATTTGGCTGCAACCTAATCTTTCAACTTCATCTCTCAGATGAACTTTATTAGTATAAGACAGTGGATTTTTGTATAACCTTTCTCACTTGTCTGAGAGTTGAAGACAGGGAGAGAGTTTATTTAAAACTTTATGCAGTAAAATAGGCAATAAACATTTGCTGAATTAACTTATCTGACATTCCTAGATCCCATGACAGCCCATACTATGCCTCTGCCCATTCATAATCTATAGAAGCTTATGCCTCTATTAAATTCCATCTCTTTATGAACCTTGCTTATCTTTGTTTACATTCATCTTTTCATTGACATTTTACTCAAACAACTGTCAACTACTGACTAAATGCTTATACAGTTTATAATTATATGACATTGTCTGATGTGCTACTTTGCTTCCTCTAAGAATATTATAAATTTCTTACGTCTACTTTTTGCTCCCGCATTGGCTAGCATGGTGCTAGGCATATGATAAACCTTTGATTGCCTGATCTACAGTGATTTTTTAAAAATAAAAATGACCCGTCTGGCTCAGTGTTTGAGTGTCAGCCTATGAATCAGGAGGTCACAGTTCAATTCCCAGTCAGGGCACATGCCTGGGTTGCGGGTTTGGTACCCTTTTGGGGTGTGCAGGATGCAGCTAATCAATGATTCTCTCTCATTGTTGATGTTTCTGTCTCTTTCACTCCCTACCTCTCTGAAATCAATAAAAATATATTTAAATAAACAACATAAATGACCCTACACACAGTGTATTTTATGTCTTCTGAATCACAGATATGGCTCAGCAAAATATCATAAGTTAATACTTCTTTTCAATTACAGGTATGGAAAATGATGCAGACGACTTGGCAGAGCCAACATTATCTATTAGGACCTTCCGTGGAGCTCCCACAAGTTTTTTTGAAGAGATCCCCCTTTCTGCTATAGACGGCTGGACAGGAAGCACAACTGTAAAAATAAAGTGCCCTGAAGAAAGTGTTTCAAATCTCCATGTGGATAATGCTACGATGGGGTATCTGAGCAGCTCCCTAAGTACCAAACTGATACCTGCCATCTACATCCTGGTGTTTGCAGTGGGTGTGCCGGCCAACGCTGTGACCTTGTGGATGCTCTTCTTCAGGACCAGATCCATCTGTACGACCATCTTCTATATCAACCTGGCCACTGCAGACTTTCTTTTCTGTGCCACACTGCCCTTTAAAATAGCTTACCATCTCAATGGAAACAACTGGGTCTTTGGAGAGGTCATGTGCCGGGCTACCACAGTCATCTTTTATGGCAACATGTACTGCTCCATTCTGATCCTCGCCTGTATCAGCATCAGCCGCTACCTAGCCATTGTCCATCCTTTTACTTACCGGGGGCTGCCCAGGCGTACCTATGCCTTGATCACATGTGGATTGGTGTGGGCAACCGTGTTCTTGTACATGCTGCCATTTTTCATTCTGAAGCAAGAGTATTATCTTGTCCACAGGGACATCACCACCTGCCATGATGTCCACAACGCATGCGAGTCTTCATCACTCTTCCAACTCTACTACTTCATCTCCTTGGCATTCTTTGGATTCTTAATTCCATTTGTGGTCATTATCTACTGCTACACAGTCATCATTCGGACACTTAATGCATATGATCATAGGTGGTTGTGGTATGTTAAGACGAGTCTCCTCATTCTTGTGATTTTTACCATTTGCTTTGCTCCCAGCAATATTATACTTATTATTCACCATGCCAACTACTACTACAACACCGACAGTTTATACTTTATCTATCTCATAGCTTTGTGCCTTGGTAGTCTGAATAGTTGCTTAGATCCATTCCTTTATTTTCTCATGTCAAAAATCACAGATAACTCCACAGCTTATCTTACAATAGTGAAATCACCTTAGAGAACAATGGAAGCTATCTGTGCAAACATACATGCTTGGGACCACATGCGCGTAAGTGCAAGGAGCTCCATTCTCTAGCTCCCTTTGAAGCTCCTAAGAGATAGTGCTTCAAAAACAACACTATCAGTATTTTAAGAACATCAATGTAGGAGAAAAGATATCATCACTCTCTTCATGGCAGTGGATACATTTACCTGACTGGTACTTTAAGCTCTTTATAGCTCTATCATCCCTCCTTCTATGAGCTTTCTACTCTAGATGAATTGAAGGGGAATGGGACAAGGGACAATGATACAGCATGGAGAGAAGCTAATATCTCAGTTTTTGGTACCTGGTGTCATTTTTTATTCCTCTGCCTTCTTCCACTTGCATGCTGGGGCCGCCTCATTAGCTGATTCTACCTTTGTAATATCTCTTACTAGGATCCATTAGTCCCATCTTTGCCTTCCAACCATTCTCTTCCTGTCCAGCCTATCCTCCACTTCACCAGGCCACTGCCAGATTTTTCTTCCTCAAATATCAGTTTGAATACCTCACTCAACCCTCCCCCCACCCCAAGCTCACTGCAGCATTATTTATGACAAACAAGCTATGAAAGCAACCCAAGTACCCCTCAATAGATGAGCAGATAAAAAAGCTGTGATACATATATACAATGGAGTATTACTTGGCCGTATAAAATAATGAAATCATACCATTTGGGCCAGCATGGACCTAGAGGGCATTATGCTCAGAGAAATAAGCCAGAGAAAGACAAATACCATATGATTTCACTTGTATGTGGAATCTAAAGAACAAAATAAGCAAACGAACAGAATTGAAATGGACTCATAGACACAGAGAGAGAATTGGTGGTTGCCAGAGCAAGGGGGCATTGGGACACAGGAAGAAAGAGGTGAAGGGACTAAGAACCACAAGTTGGTAGTTATAGAATGGTCACAGGGATGTAAACTACAGCATAGGAAATACAGACAATAATATTGCAATAACTATGTATGGTGCCAGTGGGGTACTTGGAAATATCATGGGGAGCACTACATAAAATATGATTGTCTAACCAACACACACACACACACACACACACACACACACACACACACACACACAAAACAGCTCGAAAACCTCCATGGACTCTCCACTGTTTTAGAATAAATGATTAATCTTTAGTTTGGCATTCAGGGCTAACTTTCTATTTCACTTCCCAGTAAACCTTGCCTGTGATGTAGACACTAGCCAAGCTTCTTGCTTTGCTGTGATGTGATTTCTCCTCTTTTTGCCTTTGTCTCTAACTGGAAAGCTATTTCTAACATATTTGCCTTAATTCGTTCCATCTGTTAAAGCCCCCAAAGGACCATTCTTCCCTGATTCTCAAGCTAGAAGTTCATTTTTCTAATCTGAACTTTCAAAGCATTTTATTGTATTTTTATTATAGTACTTACATATAGTTCATTTATATACAAATATTAGTTCCATAAACACTTAAGCACCATGTATAGGAGAGAAGGGGCTTGTTCTGTCCCTTCTTTGTGCTTTTTATGGCAACCCCAGGCTCAAGTTTTTTCAGGGTCTGTGGGGCCTAGCTCCATACTTTACTAGTACATTGTCATGTGGCTGAATGAAAGAATAAAATCCCAAAGCATCTTAGCAGCATGAAAGTCCATTAAATTCCAACAGAGAAAGCAAGGTATTCTGTATGACAAGGGGCAACACCATTTTTAGTTGGACATATAAAAAAAATCAGGAAGCTAAGCTATGAATATACTCAAAGTCATATAGAAGTTTAAAATGCCTCCATTACTTTTGTGGCTTAAATATAGACGCCCAGCATCTTCCTGTAGGTAAAGGGATTAGACAGGAGGTAGGATATCAGTCGTTAAGGGCATGAAATATTGCTGACATGAGTTTTCAAGTCTGTAAGAATGTGCATTGACCAATATACTTGTAGTGACCATCAAAACAATAAAAAATTTAAAATGCATACTTTTTAATGTGAAGAGTTTCCTATTTCATTGGACTGAAGTTAAAACACACACACACACATGCCCATAAAGGCCCTTTATAGCATGTGTGCAGTTGTGTGAAGAACAAAAATCAGGTAAATAATAAAGCAAGCAAGAAAAACAAATCTACAATAAGTCTCAAGATGACAAAAAGGTAAATGTATGTAACTAGTTTTTGCAAATAAAGTCATCAAATGCAATACAGTTTTATCTATGGAAAACATGAAACAATATTCACTTGTTAAAAGCACACTTAATTTTTATGCAATAAATTACACGTAGCAAAACAGAACTTTTTGTGGGGATATAATTCATATGTTCTCAAGCAAAGCCTTCAATTTAAAAATAGCTCAAAATTCACCGCCTCTGGTGAACAAAGTGTGTTCTCTGCTAAGTGTATGCCAACATGCCCTTTACCCAGACTTTCCCCAAGAGACAAAAGGAATTTGGTGCCTACTCAACGTTGTACTTGAAATACTATTACCAAGTAATGTTTACCATATAAGGATATTTTATATGGCCAAGTAATCCTCATCAACTTACATCACTGTCCCTTATCTTTGATAAAACTCAGCACCCATTCTTTGAAGATGTTATCATTGAGACCTTTAACACTATATATTTTACAAGCTTTATTTTATACTGACAATACAAGTAATATATTTTCTTCTATTATTTTCCATGTTTGGACCTTGGGAAGGCAAGGCACAGAAATACCACCATAAAACACAACTGGAAACTTCTAGCTATCAAAACAAGAGAGGTTTTAAAAGAGAAATGCAGGTCTAGCTGGCTTGGCTCAATAGATAGAGCATTGGCCGGCAGACTAAAGGGTCCTGGGTTCGATTCCAGCCAAGGGCACATGCCTGGGTTGCAGACTCGGTCCTCAGTAGGGGGTGTGCAGGAGGCAGCTGAGCAATGATTCTCTCTCATCATTGATGCTTCTATCTCTATTTCCCTCTCCGAAATCAATAAAGACATATATTTTAAAAAAAGAAAAGAAAAAGAAATGCAGACACCCCACCAAATAAACAGAACCAGATCCCCCCTCCCCCCGCCCCCAGGGAAAGAGATCAGGCTGAGAAAAGAAAGTTTCAAAACTAATGGGCAGAGAAAGAAAAATGTTGAAAAAATAGGAATTTAACCAAATCGGATTCATTGCGTAGAATTGTTTTAAGCCTGTTAGCTGTTCCAATACAGTTCAAGCCCCTAATTTTATTGGCCTGAGTACTTTTTAAAAAAATATATATTTTATTGATTTTTTACAGAGAGGAAGGGAGAGGGATAGAGAGTTTGAAACATTGATGAGAGAGAAACATTGATCAGCTGCCTCCTGCACACCCCCAACTGGGGATGTGCCCGCAACCAAGGTACATGCCCTTGACTGGAATCGAACCTGGGACCTTTCAGTCCGCAGGCCGACGCTTTATCCACTGAGCCAAACCGGTCAGGGCTGGCCAGAGTACTTTAATGCCTGAGCTAGAACCCAGCTCTCTAGGCTCATATGTAATGCTCTAATCACACTATTAAAGCCACTGCTTTCACACTAAGGAAGGATGCCCAACAGAGAGCTGGCACCTCATGATCACTCAGGGAAGGCTCTGGGGTGCTCTGGAGGGTGCTATGTGGTTCTGCCTTGATTCAGAACCTTCACAATGGGATGCTCTGGGGGGGACCTCCACCGCCTGCCTATGAAACGCTATGAAACGTTTGTGGAGTCAGGCTCACCTCAAGGACAAACCCCCAAGTGGCTGCGGGCAGGGCATTACCTTATAACCCTGTAAGATAGGTACTACATGTGTAGACTGAAGCATAGAGAATTTTGGTGACTTGACTAAAATCCCTAATTTTTGGGAAAACCAAGATTTGAATGGTGCCTTGTGTCCAAAGCAAACAACTTTTATCTTAAAATGCCAGTAAGTGTGCCCTGTGCCAGGGCCACAGCTACATCAGTGGCAACAGCAGGTGGCAGCTCCCCTTCCTGGTTGACAGGTCTACTCTCCTCCCCTGAGATGTGGGAACACAAGGCTTGGATCTGAGTCTCATTCTCTCACTCCCTGGCCTGGCATTCAACCCAAGCCTCAGGTTCATTCACATCAGGTGAGAGAGCACCCCCCGCCCCCCAGTTGCTGTGGGGCTTAAATGAAGATCCGCGTAAGGGCACCTGTACAGCGTAGGTAGGGGTAAGCCCTGTCACCGCCGTGCCAATCAGAGGGCAAACAGCACAGAAGGCCCCCACCCTAGGGAACAGTTTTCTTCACCTTTAATGAGGAGTGAACAGGATTTACACTGTTTTATTTTTTTTTCTAGTTTTAGTGAATTTTTATTTATTAAAGATTTATTTGGCACAGGTAATACATAGTACAAAGTTTAGAAGATTAGGAAATTTTCCCTCCTTTTCTCTAGTCACTCAGTGCTCTTCCAGAGGCAACCACTTCTGTATGCTGCTGGAGACTACATGATGCCAAAATATTTCTAACGCTTTGAGACAAAGTTAGTTACTTTGAAGGGAACACCTGAACTGGAGCAGTCCTGTTCTAGAAACTAGACTAAGTTCCTGGGGGAATTGGCCCTTCGTGAGTTGTTTACCTTGTATTTTGAAAGTTTAGAAACATTGAGTAAGTAATACATGCACTCTGCAAAAAACTTAAAAGTCCAAATAGTACAAGAAGAGAGAAAAAGAAGTATCAAACTTTCTATCTGGTTCACCTTCCAGATGGTGTCTTCTTTCATAAATATTCTACGCACATATAAGCCCACATATATATGGGTGTGTATGCCATTTGTGTGTGTATGTGGAAGCATACAAACACTTAGCACACATATTAAATATTGTCCAATATAGGACCGTTCATTCTTTTCTGTGTATTTCACTGTATGGATACTCTGCAATTTAACCAGCCCCTCCTGATGGACATTTTAGTTTTTTTTTTTGTCTTTTGCTATTACAAACAATGCTGCAATAAACATCCTTTTCTATCTGCCTTAACATATGTTTCTGAGTCACACAGACTGGGGCATAGTTCCAGAAATAATTACTTTTTGGGGGTAACATTGGACAACTTGGTCGTAGCTTCATTATCTATAAGATGATAACGATAGTTTGGAGAGCTGTTATGAGGATTATGTGAGAATATTAGATACTAATATTGTGCCCAGCAAATATCAGGTGATGAATAAATGTTTGCTCT